AGCGCGGCCTGAAGCTGAGGGTCAACGGCAGGAGAGGCCGGTTGCGCCGAGGCATTGTCACCTTTCTCTGCACGCTTCTTGTCCAAGCCGATGCGGGCGTCAGGGGCACCGCCGTTGAGCTTGTTGCGCAGGTCACCTGCGAGGTCGATGGCTTCCTGGAAGACACCCCCCTCGGCGGCCTTGTCGGCCGTGGCGTCCTCCTCGTGTTCCCTGTTCTCCTGATCCTCAGGGATGGCCTTGCTGACGAGGTTGCGGTTTGACCTAGTCCTTCCCATGATCAGTGGTTAGCTGTGCTTGGTAGCGACGAAGGATGCTAACTTGATTGTTCTAGCTCTCAATGAAAGCACCAAATGATGGAGTATTAACTCCTAGATTCTAGAGAGAAGTGAGAGCTAGAGAGAGAAGTACTATATTTGCTTTGTATTAGTGAATTCTGAACCCTTACAACTACTCCCAAGGGGAGTATTTATAGAGAAAATTAGGGCTGGGCTCCCAAGTCTTGGGCTTGGGAGGCCCATTTACAATAGGGCCACTTATGGGCCGGATACAAAGTGTATAGAAATGATAAGTATAAAATCCCGTTCTAGAGGCTATTTATCGGATGACGAGAGCATGGCCGATGAGGGCATGGCCGATGAGGGAACCCGGTTCTCCGGGCTTCTGGATCATATTCTGAGTAGACCTTTTCCTGGCCGATGAGGGCATGGCCGATGAGAGCATGGCCGATGAGGGCACCCGGTTCTCCGGGCTTCTGGATCATATTCTGAGTAGACCTTTTCCGGACGACGGGGGTTCCTTGGCCGACGAGGGCACCACTCAGTGTCTCGTGCTTTCTGTTCTTCTGAGTATGTGGGTCCTGGGGCTCAGACCCATATACTCCATCACCAAGTATGGGTGACTTTCCTCTTCCAACAAGGCTCGGTAGTCCCAGGTAAGGCTGCTGGCCTGCATCATGTAAAACTCCAAAAAAAATACAACGGTAATTTTTAAAATCCTCCGTAATGTTGGGGCTAAATGTCATAGTGGACTTGGTGAAATTAACCGCCAGCCCAGAGTTGTCCTCATACGCCTTCAAAATTTCCTTCACCGTAGTACACTCATTAGTATTAGCTTTAAAGAATAGGAAGCTATCATCTGCGAAGAAGAGATGGGACACCCGTGGGGCTCCTCTGCAAACTCCCACCCCATGAATATCTCCGCGTTTCTGAGCCCTCCTTAGTAGAGTGCTCAGACCCTCTGCTACCAGGATGAAAAGATAGGGATATAGAGGGTCTCCTTGTCGTAGCCCCCTGCCCGGGACAATTGGCCCCAGAAAGTCACCATCAAACTGAATATAATACTTGACAGTCTTAACACATTCCATGATCATATTCACCCACCGTCTGTGGAACCCCATTTTAATTAAAATACTGTCCAGAAAAGACCTATCCACCCTATCATAGGCCTTACTCATGTCTAATTTGAGGGCTATGAGCCCCTCTTTCCCAGCATTTTTGCATTTCAGATAGTGTTGGGTCTCAAAAGCCACAATAATGTTATCGATAATAGATCTTTCTGGAATGAAAGCACTCTGATACTCTCCTACAAGTTTATCAAGCAACCCCTTCAGTCTGTTCGCCAAGACTTTTGAAAAAATTTTATACACCACCTTACACAACGCAATGGGGCGCCAGTCTCCCATGCTTTCAGGTTTATCTTTTTTGGGAATCATGACAAGTTTAGTGATATTAATATTATCAGCTAGTTTACCTGACTCAATCCTATTGGCACACAACGTCGATATTTCTTGTTCTACAATATCCCAGTAAGTCTGAAAAAAGGTTGGGTTCATACCATCTTATCCCGGTGACTTCTCCGGGTGCATATCAAAGACTGAAGCTTTAACCTCCTCCAGACTGATTGGCAGCATTAATAAATTATTTTGGGCCTCGGTCACCTGTGCACAAACTCTCCTCGAACTTCTGTCATCCTGTTCTGCTCCGAAACCTGAAACAAAGACAAAAAATAGTCCGTAACCATGTCTCCCACCTTGACTCTGTCCGTGCACCACCCCCCATCTGCCTTCCGAAGGCCATGTAATTTATTCCTCTTTTTGCGTTCTTTGACTGCGTTATGGAAGAAGCGGGAGTTAATATCTCCTTCCTTCAACCAGAATTCTTTTGTTCTCTGCTTCCAAAATAAATTCTCCTTTTCCAGCAGGATTTGTAGTACCGTCCTAACTCTCGAAAATTGCATAGCACTATTACGATCCTCCTTCCCCCGTAGCCATGCCAGGCGCTTTTTACAATCCAGAATATGATGTCGGAATCCCCGTTTTCTACCCCTGTCCCATCTCAAGAGAGCATTCCCAGAAAAAGAAATTCTTTCACTAATAGCCATGATGGAAGCCGCCCCCAAACTATTTGAGACCACCAACCTACATTCTTCTTCCTTTGCCCAATTATTCTCAAATTTAAACCTCTTCTTTCTATTACTTGGATTAGAAACTCTAACCTTCACATCTAGAGCCATATGATCACTAGCTGGAGCTTCAACAAAGCTTGCATGGGCTTCCATAGATGTGTCCCACCACATGTCATTGACTATGATACGGTCGAGGTTTTCCTCCACCCAGTGTTTTGTGCCCTTACCTCAATCCCACGTCCTTTGATACCCGGAGAACGGAAAATCCCGCAGGCCAGAGGTATGAACAGCTTCCCGAAATCCCCTGATCTGCCACGGAGGATGTGACATGCGGCCCTTCTTCTCTAAATTAAACAAATGTCGTTGAAATCCCCAATCATCATCCACGACCCGCTGCTCCCCATCGCCAGTTCCTCCATCAAAGCCCATGCTTCTCTTCTCCGCCTCATTTCTGGGAAGCCATAATACCCGGTCAATCTCCACGAACTCTCGTTCACCTGAAGTTTAACCTGGCAATCAATAAAAGTTTTTTCGCCCTTCACTATGTCCACTTCGGCGTCACCCCTCCAGCCAAGCGCCAAACCACCGCTCGTCCCTTCACTGTCAACGCCAAAGGTGTCTTGAAACCCTTAAATTCGCAGGATTTCCTTCGCACGAAGACAACAGACCTTTGTTTCCATCAGAAACACAATCGACGGGCGGTGGCATTGAATTAAGTCTGCTAAGCATTGAAACCCTTAAATTCGCAGGATTCCTCCTTCGCCATACTGGCCGCACCACCAAAATACGTCTAGGATCGCGTCTCGCCCCCGACGGTCTCCCTGCAAAACTCCTTCACCGGACTAGCCACGCCGCTGGAAAACTCCTAGGAAACCCTAGACTCAGCCGCCTCTTGAGACAATAAAGTACTAACTGTTGGGAGTGGGGGTTGTAAAGTGTGAATATATTTACTTAGACTTTATTTATTTTAGACTGCCAACGGCTCTAAAGACTTGATCTCTGATTTCGGCAATAGGAGCTTAGCTTGGGGTCTATCTCGGCTCGAAATGTCTGGCCTATACAAGTTAAAATCCTTTTTTTAGTTGTATAGTTTTTTTATTTGTACTCTAATTTCAATATAAAACTACGTATATCAAAATCATAATTTTTATAATCTTTCATATGACACCAATATTAAATATATAAAATTTATATTAAAAAATGACAAGTTAAAATCTCTTTTTTTAGTTATATCCTTTTAGACTTGATATACAACACACATAATTTGTAGTTTTGAATTTTGATGTTTTTTTTAAAGAAAGTGGCTTAATTATCATAACACAACGTAAGCAAGTTACAAAATGACAACAAATCTTCTGTCTGACGTCCGCCCTAAAACCAGACTTCGAATTAATCACCTCCATAGAAGCAATATAATTCACTGATCTCGTTTTGGCTTGACTAAGTCAATGACTTGCAGACCAGACTCCTCGTCCACTGTCCTAGGTTCTAGAGTTTTATTGTCGGAAAAACACAACACAACCAAAACAGAGTAAAGATCCAAATAAAAACGAAACATGAAAAAAACTAAATAAGCAAAATAAATATTTTGAACCCTAGCACCTCGTTCAACCCCTGGCGGTGGTTCAGGAGGAGGCCGGACTATCGCTATGATTGTTGACACGGACAAGACACAACTCGAGACCATAGTGCAGGAGATTCTGCTCCCGCCCGTCGCAAACTCTCCTCCAGTCTGCCGCAAATCTCTTCCTCTTGACGTCTCTCTTGCGTCATCTCTTGACTGCCGCATAGCTTCCTCCATCGACGAGCGAACACAAGCCCAGTGAATGTGCAAACGAAACAAGCCACTACTCTGCTAAAACAAGCCGCACCCAATGATGACAATATTTAAAACCCTAAACCAAGGAGATGTCCGCCTTCTATGTAACAATGTCTTTTCCCGGTTTTGAATTTTGATGTTAATAAATGATATACTAGACATCACTCGTAGTACCATGAAGGTGAATATAAATTCAATACAAGTTCATCATTTGAATTCAATATAGGACTTTTGAACGTTGATATTTATTTCATAAAGGGCGGTATATAGGAAGAGGCCATTTGGTAACACTGTTCTAGACTTATCAGGCTTATCAACAAACTTTTTCACCAAACACGTAACTTTTATTTTCGCGCGTTGAATTGTGTAATAATAAGAAAAGGTAAGGTTGGAGTTACTTTTCGGTTTTATTGGTTGAAGTTTATGTAGTTGACCATTTTAGCTATTTTTACATATAATTTTTCCTTTAATTTATTAATAAAATATATTTTAAATTTTTTTCTTAAATCAGCAGAATCAACCAATGCAACCACTTCAGTCAGAACTTCGTAAATTTCAGCAAAATCAGCCAATTTTCGTGTTACCAAACGGGCTCGAAATATGTTGGATTAAACATCAAATGAAACATTAAAGTAGTCAACTTATCTAGAGAAAAGGGAATGGGAAATTGAATATAACAAGGAATAAGGACATGAATATCACTAATAGCTTATTGAAAGACAAAAATATGAGCATTTTTTGATTGGACAAAAAAGTGACCATTAATAAATGAATCTACCTTTTCCTTCCATCTTCCAGCCAAGTACGTCCGTTCATCTTCTCTTATCAATGACGCAGCCCATCTCGTAGTCGTACGTCCGTTCCATCTTCCAGCCTTTTCCTTCATCTTCCAGCCGTACGTCCGCTCCATCTCGCTCAAGGGTTCATGCTCCGAACCACCATCTTCCTCCACCAACTGGTCTGGTCCGACGGCGGTGAAGGGTGACGAAGTCCAACAGCAAGGCCTTCAACTCCGTCGTCGCCTCTACCGCTCCCTTCCTCCGCTGCCAGGTTTAGTCCCCGCCCTCGTCATCGGAAATCCTTTGATTTTCTTCTCCTTTCTTCTGTTCCTAAAAATCCGCTACTAGCGTCTGGGATTTTAGATTTGGAACTCCTGGATCATTTTCTTCTCACCGGCGTCTGGGATTTCAGATTGGGGGTCGGTGGCGGTGCAAAAATGATTGGGAAAGCTGGGGAAGAGGTTGGGCAGGTTCGTTCGGGAATTGGACTAATAAGGACGGTGACAAGGTGGGGGATAGGTGATGATAGGTGTTGCAATGGCTTAGCCATCGTTGCTGGTAGGCTTGGCCCCGTTTGGGGCAGGGAGGGTGCTGAATTGGGGCTGAACCGGTGGGGGCTATTGCTGCCTAGGTGGGCTGGGGGGATAGGGTGTGGCGGTGGCCGGAAGGGGCAACAGCAGTGGTCACAGGCGGCAATTGCCAAATTAGGCGGAGCGGGACTGCGTCGGTTATGGATTGGTGGTGCTTAGAGGAGAGATTGGGATAGGGGTGGGTTCGCTGACCGGAGTCACTGGCGGCGGTTGTCACTTGGCCGTGTCACTTGCGGCGATGTCATTGAGGCAGTGTCATCGGTGATTGTGTCACTAAGGCGGTGTCACCAGTGGCGATGTCACTAAGGCGGTGTCACTGTGGCTAAAGGTTGGGGCGGAGACGTCACAACGGAGGTGTCATTGTGATCAGCGACGCCAGAGATGTCACTGCGGAGATTAGAAGCGAAAATGTCACTACAGAAATGTCACTGCGGAGATGTCATTGTATATTGGTCACATTTTTGTCCAAATATAAATGTGGTCACTTTTTTGGAAATCAACTTTAATTTAGTAATATTAAGGGAATAACCCCATATAATAACACAAATTATACTTTGTGACGGCACAATCACTAATGCGGTGTAACACCCCTAAATTTCCCGCCCAAAACATTGATATATTTAAAAGAAATACTTTATTCATTCATCAAAGAGTTGAAGAAATACAGCGGAAGTCTAAAAGGGAAATGAGTGTTACCGCCACATTCGGTCATCTCTTAACCGAATGCACAGGCAACTCAAAGTAAAACAACAAAAACTAATGTAATAATAAGTAAATGTTTGTTTTATGACTAGATTTAACTAAGGCATCTTCTAATTCGCACTCAAGCTCGAGCAATCCGTCAATCCACATAGGTATCCAACTCATCACCTGATAAAATTTAAGGGAGAAGAGAGACACAAGAAAAATAACAAAAATTAGCTTTAGAGCTAAGTAAGTACTACCCAACCCCGTAAAATAATCAGGTTTGACTAAAAATAGATTTTTATATAATATCATATAAAAATGACGCACTCCACCAAAATATTTTTTAAAATTACTTCTTTACTAAAATCCTCAACTTCTCTTGGAAAATCTCTTAGTAATTCTCCTCTTTAAACTTTTTAAGAAAATCACTTCTTCTCTAACTTCCTAGTAATTTAGAAGGGCGGTGCTTAACCTTTCGGTAGAGCCCGGTGGACCGTGGTTACGGACGGCCACCCCGAACAAGTGCCGGTACCACAACTGCTCTGTTGGAAACGAAACGACTACCTTAAGTGTGCACACCCCCTAAAAGGGATTCCAAGCCCTTCGAGTAGTGAGTCATCCTGAGTGGTCGGAACCCAACCACCTCAATTCTAAAATTCTTGAATGATTAGGGACTACTACTATAACTTCTTCTTAAAAGGGATCATAGATCCAAATCTCACTTAAAAGGGATCATAGATCCAAATCTCACTTAAAAGGGATCATAGATCCAAATCTTGCTTAAAAGGGATCATAGATCGAAATCTTGCTTAAAAGGGATCATAGATCCAAACTGTACTTCTTAGTAGTAGTAGCTCTAATCACCCTCCACATTTATCCGGATGTGGAAAAACCGACACCTCGGATTACTCCCGAGATGCTATCTTCTTTATGAAAAGGTAATTTTTATCTTCGCTTAATAATACTTCAAAAATACTTCTTAATTTCTCTAAAAAGTCTCGAAGGTATTTAAAAATATTTAATACCCCAAAAGTACTTGATTTATACTTCTTAACTACCATATATATAATATCTTCTCAAAATCACATACACAAAATTCACAATTCACACTTAATCACATAATGCATATAATAAGCATATAATACGAGGAAACAATTTTGGATTGGCAGAGAAACTTACCTTAAGTCCTGTTGCTCCTAGTTATCCTCCTCTAATCCGGTCTCTAGATAATCACCTTTTTAATTAAATATGATAAAATTAGTCACTTATTCTATTTGTAATTACCTTACCCGATTTTCTCCTTTTATTTTATTATTCGAATTTATTTGATTACTCACTTTCTATTAATAAAATTACCTTAATAATTTTATCCATTAATTTTCAATATTTGAAATAAAATATCTGAATATAATTGACTACAACATCCAATTTTTATTCAATAATCACTATTAATATTAATATTCCCTTATTCAATTACTTAACTAGTTTTATATGGCCTAATTTAAATAAATAGATTAAGAATTGACTTTATAAATTAAAAACCGTCTATAACTATATTTTGGGTCTATATTTGACCTAGGTTGTCCAGATATCTATTTTATAATTATTTTCCATAATTATTCCCTTAATTTCATATATCTATTAATCGGTTTAATTCCAATTAAATATACTAAACCTTATTTTTATTAATTATAAATGGTCCATAAGGTCCCAGTTAGTCATATATTTATCCTAGTTTACTCCAATATTTATTTCATAATTATTTTCGTCATTTAGTTAATCATTTACTAAAAGTGTATAAATTGGCCCAATTACCATTAAATCAATTAAAAATAGCTAAAAATATTATTTTCCAATTCTGGTTGGTCCGAATATGTATATTTATACTAGGTATTTAATTTATATTTTTCCAGATTTTATTTATTTCATTTACTATTTTATTTTTAATTTTTATTGCAACTGGGCCGAATTGGCCCAAATTAAATTTTCTGGCCCAATCCTGAAAAAGGCCCAAAAACCAGCGGCGTCTTCTTCCTCGCTACTTCGCCGGAAAAACGGGAAAAACAGGGGGGAGAACTCACCTCGTTTGGACGAGCGAAACGGCCGAAAACGGTGGTAGCAGGGCGGCGAAGGTCAGAGGTGGTACGGCGGCGGCAGCTCCTCCCTCTTCTCCGTTTTCCGTCGAAATGTTTTTCCCCGGCGAAACTCCGGCGAGGCTTTTCTCCCTCGTTTCACGACCGTTTTCGACGATTCTTTTTCCGTTGGATTCGTATCACGAAGGGGAAGTTTGAGAAGTATTTTCAAGGCTTGGTTCTGGCTAAAACGCTGTGTCGCAAATATATATATATATACATATATTTGTATATTTCTTAGTTTTTTGGGATGAAGAAAACGCAGGTTCTGGCCTATTATTTATAGGGAAAGATGAGGGTTTTAGGCTGAGATGTTAGAGTTTGAGTTGGAGTTGGAGTTAATTTCGTTTGCACTTCTAAGAGTATTAGGAGTATATTTGTTATATAATTAGTATTAGTACGTAGTTAGTTAGGAGTTATAACTTAGTATTAATAATACCTACGTAGTTTACATATCTTAGGAGTATATATATATTATACGTACGTAGTTATCTTAGAAGTAGGTTTCTATTATATTTTATTTATTATATTATTGTACTTGTGTATTATTATACTTAACTTAAAATAGATATAAAAGTTAATTTTTATACTAAAACGTTACTTCTATTATCGGGCCATTTTTATCAGACTAAAAATGTCGCAAATGTAAATTTTCTGTCTGGTTTACTTGTTTACTAAAACGTTGTTCTTATTACTGAAGTATTTTTATCTGATTAAAATGTCACATCTGTTGAATTTTTGTCTGACTCAATTATTTATGAAAATGTTATTTTCGTAATATTTTATCTGACTAATAAAAATTATTTTTATTTTTATTTAAATTTTTGGAGTGTCACATTCTACCCTCCTTAAAAGATGCTTCGTCCCGAAACATAAACTAAAATAACCAAATTCTTAAGTATTACATTCTATTTTTATTTTTATTTAAATTTTTGGAGTGTCACATGCGGTGAAAATTGACTTTTCTTCGTTTTCACTGATTCCCTCATTCCCCTGCTCTTCTTTTTTTTATCATTAACTCCAACAAATATATTAAACCAATAAAACGTTCGTCACATGCCTGATAATACAATCAAAGAAAAAGCAGGAAATAAAATGATAAAAAGTTTTCGGCCAGCTGTACGATTTTGAGCCAAACTTAGAATCTATCACCTCTGTAGAAGCAATAACATTCGTTGATCCTGTTATGGGCTTAACTGAGCCAATGACAGGCAAACCAGACTTCTCATCACATGATTTAAAATCTAGAATCTTTCTTCTAGAAAATAAGAACACGTCCAATACAACATGCAATTCCAAAGAAAAACACAAACACAAAAAGACGGAATTAAAATAAAGTTCACTCATCTTCTTACAACAGAAAAAGAGATAACAAAAAAGTATGATTGGAAAGTTATAAATGCAAGACTTTTACTAGGGTGGAAAAAATCGAACCGAAACCCGAAAATCGACCTTGACTCGACTCGAATGATGTTTGTGGTCCAGGTTTTTTCGATTTTACCGGCCAGAATAAAAAAACCAGGACCAAACACAAAAATTAGGGCTCAGAAACAGGCCCTTAATTTTATAACCCGGCCCGCACCGATAAAACCCCAAAACAATTAACTTTAATTTAAAATCAATATAATATATGAATATAATTTATAAATAATTCATAATATATGATTATAATCATGGTGGATGAAAATATGACCTAGTAACTTTTAGTGACTATAAATATGTTCAATTTGTTTACCGTAATGACCATGAGAATATATTTATAGCAAATTTAGTCATATTTTTATCCATAAGTTTTATTTCATAATATTTTTAGAAAACTAATACTCCATTATTTATTTATATGCATCCTAAATAAAATATTAAGATAATTATCTTCTTTGGATTTGAATTGTCGGCGGTTTGTGTTATTATTGGTGGTTAATATTTTTTATTATTTTTATATGAAAATAGGTTTTATAATATAAAAGGACAATGAGATGATTTAACTTTCAGGCTTTAATCGGCCAACCTGAACCCAGATCGAATCTGGGCTAGCGAAAATCCGTTTCGGACCGAATGTAATGGGCTTTATTCCGGTCCCTAATTTTATTAATCCGAAACCTTCAGGGTAATTTCCAGGTTTAGCGAAAACGCGACCCAGACCGGATCGATCCTTCCCCTAACATTTACGTCAAAAGATTCGTATAAATAGTGATTTTGTCAATATGAAAAACAATGTAAAATCATAATTTTGTCAAGACTTTGAAAAAAGGAAAGACTTGGGAAACCGTGAGAATGAGAATATTTACTCATACAACCAGAAATACGAGAAATGTTACTCCGTACCATGCACACGTGAAAATTGGGCCATGTTTGATCAAATTTATATATTCCATATAAGTTTGAAAAAATTGAGAAGAATAATCTTACCTTTCATTGATGTTCTCATAATAATATCATTTTTACGTAATCGCGGAATAATCTCACCTTTGCAACACATCTTCTTTCGTGTGACCCTGACCTGTTGATTACCTACTATAATAGGGTTTTTACCTTTTCTTTGGAAACCTTATATAAATAATTTCACCTTTCACAAATCTGCTCAAAACGATCTCATGTTTCATTTTTTCTATTTTCTTCCTAAAATTTTTATTTCTTTATTTTCATCCCTAGACATTTTTTATTACTTTTTCAATCATTTTGTTTTTATTTCTTTTCCATTTTTATTATTCTATTTCTAATTTCTCACTCTATTAGGAGAGTTTTTTTTTGTTAAATTTCTCTTCAAAATACCTATTTTTTGTCATTTTCTTTTTCTTTCCGTATTTTTATTTCATTTCC